TTCTGTAACCTTTTCAACCGCTAAACGACCATAGCAATTACATAATTAATGTAGGTACGTATTTCATCCATTAATAATGAATGCTTGCAATTCGCATGTAGGTTCTATTGAATATTAACGTCTCTTATATGAATTTATTCACATCCTTCCATTTTTATATAAAGGAGCAATCATGGTGTTTATTGAATTAAAATTTTCAATAAAATAGATAAGGTTTGTACTTCTGGTGTGTTCATTTTTTGAGGTACTTGATGTGTATTCAATACAGTCCTATCATGTGAAGGAACTGAGAATCATAAAAATAAATGAAGCACACACTTGAAAGGAGTTTAATATTCAATGAACATAATATTATTAAATTTATAACTTTATTTTATTTACGTACATTGAATTCCATCTGACTACCCAATCTGAATTTATTTTCGTGTGTGTACTACGATATATATATATCAATAACATTGAAATAAATTATTTTATATTTGATTAAAATAATAACATATATTATGGTGTGTAGTGGGCGTGGTCACTAACAACGGCTTATTGAATTTAGTAATCTGTAAATTTAAAGTAAGTCAGAAAGCTATCCAAAAGGGTTTTTGAGTTACTTTAAGGAATCCGTTTGAAATGTAGCAATCGTTGAGAGTATTGGAGTGGTCGGTATAGCCGATAGAATCAGAAGACTCAACGTAAACCGTTTGGATAAACTTGTTTTAGAATAAAGAGGTCGTCCAAACAGAGTTGAGCATTCGCAAACTAAATTGTTCTAAGTGTTACATGTATAATATGTTTCAGAATAATTTTCAAATTTATAAAAAAATTGTAATAAATTGTTAGTAGACCCTATTACTGGTCGGTAATAGGGTCTACTAACAATAACAATAATAACGGTCGCTGTCTACGTTATGTGCAATAATCTTTTTTTGAAAAGCTGTGCTTCGGATGCAAGACAAATGAGAAAATTCTAGAACAATCCCCTAAGTTGTAGCAACCCTAATCCGCAAACGGGTCGCTAGTTCGCCTGTCGCATTGCCGCGTCGTCAGCGACAATTAACACGGCCCGCGTTCCATAACTCACTCCCACTGACGCACGCTATCGCACAATACGTATCTGCGACCCGCTACTGAATACTTTTAACCGCCACTGCCACCCAACACGACTCGACGCTACCACGCCAACATCGCCTGTCTCCTCGTGTTTGTAATTTAAATTTCGAATCACCATAGCCCGTTTTAATTTGTTAATGTACAAGTAAGTAGGCTTACCTGTTTTATGTTATATTTATAAGATAGGTATTTTCTTCTGCAAATTCATCTTCAAGGCCCAGTAATAGCTGTCACTATTGTATTCCATGAATTTTCAGCTAGGGATATCTTCTTCCCCTCTATTCCCCGCGAAAATATTTTAATGATTTAATTGAGAAATTCCTAATAAAAAAATAATAAATATATATCTTTTATTATCTCGCTTAAAGTAGATGAAGTTTTATATTATCTGTTCGTGGTACGTATTGTGCATGTAGTATCTATAAAGTAAACATAATATGTTTACCATCGGAAGAATGCTAAACTGCTAAACCACAGCATCGATATTTTGTTTAGATATATCTTCCTCATAGTATCCTATCAGTAATATGGACACATGAACAGTACCACGGACATCACATCACTGTATCACAGGATGTCCGTGGAACACCTCATGCATTAGCATTTGGGTTAGTGTCTTGCAACCATACTTCCCTGTGATATATCACTATTGAACTTAAACACATCTTACAAAGCAAGTAATTTGATGACTGGTAAAGGTAAGACAGAGACGCCGCAATATTATACAAAGTACTATCTCTGTAAAAGATAGAATAATTAAAAGGTACTGTTTAAAAATGAAGAATTAAGTACCTAACTATAGTCGCTGGATTTTTTTTGCAAATCGTAGCACCATGGTTAAAATATGTGTTGGGCAAAAAAATGAACTAAGGACCAACCTGGTTCGTGTAGTCCCCGCGTGCGGGACTTATTATACGCGTAGCCGTTTCACTTTAAACACGCACAACACTACGATGAATTTCACTGGATGATGTACTAATCAGATGATTGTGCGGAGATCGCGGCTGATGGTTCCGTTAACGTTGATTCGCGGAGAATATGCTGATTTGCGTGTGCTCAACGCGACTAACAAACGACTCTTGTTGATGCCCCCCAGATTTGGTGGATAAAAATAGGAGTAGGATGTAGGGTAGTAACATATTGCAAGTTGGCTAGAAATTAGTAGATTTATATCAATTATACCGCCCCCAAAGAAAAGCTCTTTAGAGAATAAAAAAAAAGTAAGATATGAAACTGCAAAGGTTTCCAATAATGTTAACTATAAAAAAAAAAAATAATAATGAGATGTAACTAAACTAATAATACTATAAGCTAAGGTTCGATAGCATAAGAATAATGATCGGCTTTAGGCACAAGGTAATAATGGACAAATCTTGACTACTGGTCGAAGTAACGTACCAGTAGAAGTTTTCAACTCTACCACCCGAACACTACCGTCAGAACCTGGACAAATTTTAGTTACCCTAGCAATTTTCCAACGAAATGGTGGCAAACCGGGATCTTTCAGCAAAACCAAATCGCCTACTTGAACGTTAGGTAGTTTAGCAAGCCATTTGGGTCGCTGTTGTAATGTATGAAGATATTCGGATTGCCAACGCTTAAAAAATGCTGAGTTATTTGCCGTAATAACTGCCAACGCTTGAGAACATTTGATTCTATTATTTCTTCTTCAGGTAATGCCTGAAGAGGTTTATCGATGATAAAATAGGAGTTAAAACGTAGTCATTTGGATCATTTTTCATTGTTACTAAAGGACGTGAATTTAGAGCATATACTTTAGTGAAGATGGTAGCTAATTCTTCGTAAACCAGTGAGCGATCGCCAATTACACGAGTAATGATTAATTTGGCAGAGCGAACAGCACTCTCCCATAAACCACCCATGTGTGGACTGGCGGGAGGATTCAAATGCCAAACTATTTGTTGATGAGCTAAATATTTATGGATTTCCTCATGAGAATTTATAATATGTTGCGTAACATCTTTTAGATAATTCCGAGCACCAACAAAATTGGTACCGCAATCGCTAAATACGTCCCCTACGAGAAACAAACCGATCGAAGCATGCAAGAAACGCTTCAGTAGACAACTCTGAAACAATTTCCAGATGAGTATATATGGTAGTAAAACATACAAAAATACAGAGATACGATTTTACGGACTTGGCGTTTCGGATACGAAAGTTTTTTTAAGAAAAAAATTGCAAAATCGATCCCAACCTTTTGAAAAGGTCGACAGGATGTTACTCGGTGGGAGGGTAGATCTCCCATAAACGGTTCAATAGATCTAGGTCGTGATCTATAACAACGTTGACAACGAAAAATTTGTTGGCGGACAATTCGACGCGCTGATATAATCCAAAAGTATTTTTGTAATAAATTTAGAAGGGAATTTAGACTAGGATGTAAAAAGACATGATGATAATAGTCAATTATCTTTCATGTCGTGGTGTCCTTTAGGAAGTAGCAATGGATGCCTTGTGTGGTACGGCAAATTAGAATTGGTAATCTTCCACCTACTCTTACGAGACCGATGTTGTCGAAAAATAAATTAAGTCTCATGAGACCACCTTTAATAGATTTGTTTTATCCTGTAGCCTTTTAATTGTTCCAGAGATATATCGAAGACTGAACCAATCGAATGATAGTGTGAGTGCTATCAATCAACTCGGCCACACTAATTGGTCCAGTTCTTCGTTGTAAAGCAGGATTTTTAGATTGTGACAGAAACGTTTGCAAAGCTACTATACATCGTAACTTGGTTTAATTTGAGAAATAATATATTAATAGTAACATGACATAAGCTGCAGGATAGGAGGACCGTACACCAGGCAATTTTGTTCGCTAAGTTCTGATGATTCATTAGGCCATGTTGAATCGTCCATTTCAAGCCATGATGGACACCACCATAAGGGATGATCAACTAATTCAGTAGGAGTAAGGCCTCGACTGGCTGAATCAGCTGGATTCATCATGGACGGTACGTGTTTCCACGTGACATTGGAAAATAAATTTTGGATTTGGGATACACGGTTCCCTTCATAAGTTTGAAGTTTGTGAGGTGAAGTCTTAAGCCACGATAGGACTATGTTCGAATCACACAATTATGACAGTAGTGATTGACATTTTGACATTTAAAATGTCAAACACGTGTTTGGTTAAGCGAATGAGTAAAAGTGCACCGTTTAATTCCAATTTGGGAATAGTTAGTTTTTGTTTGAGTGGTGCTACCCGTGATTTTGCAAGTAATAATTTAACATAATTACCATGAGTATTTTGAATACGCAGATAGATGCAAGAGACTTATACCCGTTTTCGGACGCATCACTGAAACCGTGCAATTGACATACAAACGGTTGATCAGTGATAACGTAACGTGATATAGATACTTTATTAAGATGAGGAAAATCTGCTATTAATTCCGACCAAGATTTTTGTATAGCATTGGGAAGTGGATCGTCCCAACTCTTTTGTGTTGACCACAGCTGTTGCATAAGGTGCTTGGCTGAATGACAGAAAAAATCCACATGGATCGTAAAGTCTCGCGATGTTAGACAAAACGCCACGCATGGTCATGACATTACTCATGTTTGAGACATGATAGATGAAGCTATCCGTTTTTGCGTTCCATTCGATGCCCAGAATTTTGAAGAGGTCACCCTGCTCCTCGAAACGGTATGGTGGCTCGCAATGATCGGAGGTGAAAGAGCAAGAACTCCTTTGAGTTGCTTGACCACTTGCGCAAATCGAAACCGCCTCTGAGAGAGAATGGCAACCAGATTTTGCTGCAATTGCTGAGCAGAATCAAGACAATGAGACCCACTAACTATATCATCTACGAATGTATCTGCTAGCAACACCCTACAAGCCTCAGCATATTGGCTAGTATTTAAATGAGCTAACTCGTGAATGACGCGAATAGCTTGATAAGCAGGCTCGTGACGCCGTATGTTACGGTAGTTAACTCGTACTGCTTCAAGGGTTCAGCAGGAGAAGCGCGCCAGAAGATAGTTTGGTATCTGCAGTCGTCATCATGCATGCGCACCTGTCGATACATTTGTTTTATGTCGCATGTGAAGACAATTTTGTGGAGTCGAAATCGCAAAATAATATCTTCAATATTTTTTTGAAGTTTGGGACCGGACATAAGTACCTGATTAAGTGAAACACCTGTAGAGCTAGAGGCTGATGCATCATATACAGCACGAAGTTTTGTGGTACTACTGTGTTCACGTAACACACCATGATGGGGAATATAATATCGGTCACTTGATACTGGACCTGACACTTGACGCATATGGCCAGCTTCAATGTAATCCCTCATGAAGGCAACATAAAGTTCATGCAACTTCTCATCCTTAAGCATGCGACGCTCCAAATTATGAAATCGCTTTAAGGCGTTGGTGTGTGTTTCACCCAAAGGTTTATGATCCACTTTGAAAGGTAACCGCACGATGAAACGACCAGTGCTATCCCTTGTATGAGTGTTAGTGAAGTGTTTTTCACAAATAATGTTTTCAGGATCTTGTATAGGTTGACTGGGAGGTTCCTCAGATTCCCAGAACCTTGAAAGGTTAAAATTAATATCTGTGGTACAGGCCATGGAGACCACACCACAAGTCTGCTGCGATGCTGTGGGAGCCTTGCCCATGATGATCCAACCTAAGATGGATGAATGCGCAGTGGGCATGTCTTCACCCAGGCTACGTTGTTCACCATCAATAATTTTATTAAAACAGTCAACACCTAAAAGAACATCTATTTTTCCCGGCATTGAAAAGTTGTTATCAGCCAAGACTAAGTTTTTGCATTTATCTAAAATGCATTTATTTACCATAACTGATGGGAGATTACCTGTTATGCGTTTTAGGATGATACAATTAGTTGATATGGTCTTGGTAGGATCCATAAAAGATTTTATGTTGCAGTGTATCATTCCTCGACTATGCTGAGCTGATGAAGCACCTAAACCAAGAACACTGCTAGACGGTGAATGTGGCAGTCTAAGTTGTTGTGCAAGATTTTCGGTTACAATTGAAACCTGAGAACCATTGACTATGAGAGCACTAGCTGAATGGTAATATCCATTGAAATCTCGTACACTGAAAATATCAGTACCCAAAATCATAGTGGATTTACATTCGACACCATGGATAGATTGAAGTTGAGCTATGGAACCCAAAAACAGCAACTTCATTATCTTTTGAATAAGGTTTCACTTGATTGGATGAGATGTGTAGCTTTGTATGGTGTTTGACTCTGCATACACTTTATGATAATGCATTTTGAAATATGATGAGTTCTTAAACAATTAAAGCAAGTTTATGTTGAAAAAATATATTTTCTTTGTTCCGGAGTCATTGTATCAAATTTAGAACAGTAATATAGACTATGTTTATCCTGACAGCAAGGACAAATAATTGTACTAAGTTTATTTTTATTGTTTGATTCAATGACAGTTAATGTACTACTAGTAGAAGCCCTATGTATAGAAGCACTAACATTTTCTAAAACATGTAATTGATTTTCCAAAAATTTAATTAAATTCTCAAATGTAGGTATAGTTTTAATTTCAACTTGAGATTCAAATTTGCTTCTCAAATCCAGTGACAATTTTCTAAGAATTATATGAAGTAAAAGAAAACTCCATGATTTAGTATTCATATATAAGGCATCAAGAGCTTGAGTGCTCTCTTTAATGGTGAATAAGTAATTTTGTATAAAGTTTTTAAATTTAATTGTGTTAAATTATAAATTAAATAATACATATATATCAGCGATAACTCTCTTGTTTTCATAGCGTTCTGTTAATAAATTGTAAGCAACTTGATAGTTCTCACTAGATATTACTAAATGCTTTACCAAAGAGAGTGGTTCCTTATCCAAAACACTCAATAAATAGTGTAACTTTTGAACAGAACTTATATATATATATATATATATATAGACTGTTGAAAATTGAGATGAAGTTTGGCCATCTATGCTCACATTTTAGTACCTATTTAGAGATATCTTGGGAAGCTGAAAGGCAGGTTCAGATTTAGATGATGAGTGTTGAAAACCACTGGCATTGTCACTCTTTGTTTGTATTGAACTATGCAAAACTTGAACAGAATAAAACATATCCATAAAAGTTGAATATCTGTTTTCCAACTCCTCACGAGATTTGTCACTTACAGACTCAGTACTAGACATAAGAATAGCAAAAGCCTCCTCGAATTGTTGCCTAAACCGTTCAATATCCTTAAATCGAACCATGAAACCAACTTGCTCTTGTGAAGTTAAGTTTGGATTTTGGCTAAGTTTACCTGCAAGTTCATACACATTTCGCATGTTTTTGTAACTCAGATCGCAGTTTGTGGCATACGCTTTGATATTTGCCATTGTATTTTGATGTTATTTAACCAAAATAATGTAATATTTTCCTAAATGATATACGAAAATTAAAATGTAAACAAAAGTTAAACTAACAATTTGATTGAATGAATTAATACTGACGGGTTATGATTGACAACTTACTGTTCTGTGTTGCCAACAATGAGTTATGATTTTTGCTTAAAGCTTTATTGACAGCCAATGAATGATACTGATTTGATGGAATGAATGACAAGGTGAAATATGAGCAAAATGGCTGATATGTACGGCGGTTGATATGACAATGAAAAATGACTTGCAATACTTGATGAAATTATGAGATGAATATGATAATCAGATGATTATGAAATATGATTTATTTATGGGTTTTGAGATGAATGATGGTGATCTGGACGAAGGACCATGAAGAATGTTGGGTAAAAAAGGGAAACTAAGGACCGACCTGGTTCGTGTCGTCCCCGCGTGCAGGTCTTATTATACGCGTAGCCGTTTCACTTTAAAAACGCACAACACTACGATGAATTTCACTGGATGATGTACTAATCAGATGATTGCGCAGAGATCGCGGCTGATGGTTCCGTTAACGTTGATTCGCGGAGAATATGTCGATTTGCGTGTGCTCGACGCGACGTACAACGAACGACTCATTTTGTTGATGCTACCCCCAGATTTGGTGGATAAAAATAGGAGTAGGATTTAGGGTAGTAACATATTGCACCATTTATTTGTGTTTATGCAAAGTGGCTAGAAATTAGTAGATTTATATCAACCAATATGTAAGCAACAAAATAATGATTAAATAGATAATTCATGACCTTATAAGTATCTTAATAAATCTAATTCATTTTCATTTTACACAAAAACTATTTTATGTAGCCTACATAATGAGTTTCACCAAATTCGATGTGAACCTTTCCAGAATCCATTAACGTAGATTAAGTCAGATTAGTAAATTTTCGGGTATATTTCTGAAGTCTTTCTATAATAATACAGATAGGATGTCGTGCAGGTGCCGAGTAATAAATCCAACTATTTTAATAATATATCCCGAATATTCTTTGCATAGTTAGTAATATTTTTTTTATTATGACACGGAAAAAAATGATTGTAGATTACATTAAAATTTTCTTTAATAAATTCGTCCTACTGTTTGAGCCTGATTGAGCAACAAACGTGCATATAACTTAATAAACAGGCACATTTATAATATTATCAGTATTGATAATATTTAGTGTATAAAAGGTATGACTTTTACTAATTGAAAATTCAATCAAGTAGTCATTATCTAACTATTGATAAATAACAGATAACATCGTACGTTGAACACGCCACTATCATTGAACCATCAGTAATCAACATTGAAAATGATGAAGGGAGAGTAAAAGCGTGATACAGATAAAATAAACACCACTTTTACTATCCATACCGAAATAACCCTTGTGTTAAAATGTAGTCTGTCCGTATGGATGATTGTGTGTAAACTAATGTGTATAGTTGAGAATGACTGGCAATCACACATTTAATTAGATTCGTATTATATGGTATGAATAGTAAATCTAAAAATAATAAAATAGCAGTTTGTACAATTTTTAATTGTTCACAAAAAATAAGTATATATTTCGAACTATTCTAATACTGTTAAACGTAGCTGCCTTTACAGTTTCGCCGGATGAAAATAGGGGCGAATGCAGAATGCACTTCAAATCCGCTGTTGGATTTTAAAACGGTGGAAAGCCTACTCGTGGTTGATGGATACGACAGTAGTGTATAAGCAGAGATAGGGATTTGAACCAGCTCAGTTAATTGTGATCTCCGTTTAAACCGAACAAAGATTCAATCTGAGGAGGCAAAAATAATATGTAATGTCATTACTTTATCAATTAATCTACATTCGTGGTACTTAGCACTCTATTTCAAGGCTATAGTATAATATATATAGTAAGTAAAGTAAACTTTTAAGTAAAGTAAGAGTTTATTAGAGGAAGTACTTTTTAAATGTTTCATTTATACGTAGCAAAAAAATTGCACTCTCCCTTTATAATTGGCATTGATAGTAAAAAAATAGCAAAAGAGAATTACCTCATGAGCAATGGCCACTTTATTTACTCTTCTCACCTGAATAGTTCTATGAAAGGGAGCAATTAATTCTCGTAGTCTAGTCACGAAAATTTTTCATTTTAATTAAAGCTTCGGCCTGAGGATCGTCGGCTAATTAACCCATTAAAATACAACTCTTCTTTCATTTCTATCTTTTTCCTTTAGCGTTCACATTTTTGTGATTTTGAATTGAAATTAATCATAACTATTGTTATTCAAGAGCTTCTTGTTATTTTTAATAATGCAACATGTTCATCAAATATTATTAAATTATTATAGTAAAATTTGTTCCATTATAATATATCAGGATATAATATAGCACAAGGCCTTGTACTAGATGGATCGAATAGAATTTGGTACATAGATAGATCATATTTTTGATTAAAGCAGGATTTTTATTTGTAATCACATAGGCAAAGTCGAGGTACACAGCTAGTATATTTTTAATCATTTATAATATATTTATCAGTAACATACTAATACATGGTATAACAATACGTACAATATTTTGTTTTATTGTATATGTTGAAATAAAACAACGGGTTGACTGTAATTTTTGAAAGATAATTGAAGAGCGCCCGGAAATTACATGGGCATTGTTTATTTAGGGAAAATTAATATTTATCACATGAGCGTAACCGCCAGTGAAAGCTAGTAATTTAATAAACGTGTATTAAAGTGACTGCTACAAAATTATACTACGAAAGTTATATCTAACCATAGAAATGATTGCAGAACGTAATTAAATAAATTAGATTTCTTAACTAACAAAGTAGGTACCAAGTCGCTCATCAAAATAAGAAATTCGCAGGAACGTCGCCAGTTAATTAAGCCATAAATTTTTTTTTCATCACTTTAAATTGTTCCCTTCAACAGCGAACGTGATGAAATATTTTTATTATATTTTGTAAACATTATTTTATACGACACCACATACAGATGTTATTGAGACTTATATTAGTTTTATTATCTCATGAATACTTGAAGGTGACTTTGTTCGAATAAAACCCTGCTTTTTATGTTCCCTTAGGACTACGTAAAACTCTGTCTATAGGCGTAGAGTTGTAGTTATTATGGATTGATTTAGTAGAGTAATATTCTGCTTTGTTAAGTACATTATACATAGATATACCGATGGCTGAATCATAGAAAACCATGCACATTGTACGGCAAATTACTAAAAAAATAGGCGAATAGAATATGGTAAACTATGCTCCTTCTAAAACTACATATACTAACAATTAACTAATTAGAAAATATTTTTTTGTAATTGGCCTTACAATGAACATTCCTTCCGTGGTCCACCGACGTCACGGTCGATGTCTGATTCATTATCGCTAAAATTGCAGTATGTACAAAAAGCACGTAAAGACTCGTATTAAAAAAACATAGTAAGCCACGTAAAACCCCATCTCTCAATCGGACAATGGGTGTGCTTCATTTTCCCATTGCTGATAAAAATAATGAAAAGGGCTTATTCACAATGCAAAGCAAAAACTTGTTGCAGCATACAAGTGCGCGACAAAACTCAGAGACAAAGGCATATGTCAGCCAACGTAAGGCCGTGTACACAAAGTGAGTGGCTGCTAGTACAGTCAACAAGACAAGCGGGGAAAGCTGCGATCATCTGAATGACGTAGCAATTACGTGCATTCAGCCCTCAGCGCAGTCAGTCGAGGCAAGTGGTGAGATTGGTTTCAATAAAAGCGCAATCCCTCCCCATGT